AGAGTCCTTGACTACATGGAGATGCTTGCCTTCTGCAATCCCAAGATCGTTATTGGTTTTGCTCCATAATCTGCCTTTACCTTCTCAACGTGTAGCTGTGGACTTCAAGTTCACACAAAGTATTAGTACCGCTTTATAAAACCCTAGTGAGACCACACCTGAAATACTGCAACCAGTTTTAGTCACCGTAGTACAAAAAGATATTGAGACCTTGTAAAAAGTTCAGAGAAGATCCAACTAAGATGATCCAAGGCCTGGAGACTAAAACATATGAAGAATGGCTGCAGGACTTGGGTTTGGCTAGTCTAAAGTAAAGAAGAAATAGGGGCAACATGATAGCAGTATTCCAGTATTTGAGGGGCTGCCACAAAGAAGAGGGGGTCAAACTATTCTCCAAAGCACCAGAGGGCAGGACAAGAAACAATGGTTGGAAACTGACCAAAGAGAGAAGCAACCTGGAATTAAGGAGAAACTTCCTAACAGTGAGGACAATTAACCAGTGGAACAGCTTGCCTCCAGAAATTGTGGACAGTCCATCACTGGAGGTTTTTAAGAAGAGACTGGAGAGTCACTTGTCTGAGATGGTATAGGTTCTCCTGCTTCAGCAGGGGGCTGGACTGGAAGACCTCCAAGGTCCCTTCAAGCTCCTATTCTATTCTATTCTATTCTATTCTATTCTATTCTATTCTATTCTACTCTATTCTATTCTTTACTGGTGGGGAATGGCTATTTTTGGATTGGAAGCTTCCCAGACTTGGTTAAAAGATAGAAATGTTTTATATCAATAAATAAAATAAAAGAAGGTTTATAGATATTGTGAACCCAATTTTTGAGGGTTTGGGTAATTAAAGATACATTTCTGTTTCTACAACAGAGCAATGAACTGATCAGCCACAAATCCAATGCTTTCCATATCCAAAATTTGAAATAAGTGCTCAAGAATGTTACACAATTACATCTCTGTTTTCCTTTGAACAGGTCCCCGAGGCGCACCTGGACCAAGTGGACCTCCTGGCTTTCCAGGACCAAGGGGTATCAGTGGTCCTCCTGGTCCACCAGGTGATTGAATGTCATCCTTTTTTGAGTGTTTTAGAGGCTCCCAGACCTAAGCAGATATGCTTGTCTCAACGTCTGGCTTGGCCCAATCCAGAATCCCAAACAAAAACAATGACAACCCTCTTCTTCCCTTCTTAAAAATCTCTTTGATTCCTATATTACCTGATGAAACATTCTGAACCACCTCCTGGCGCATTCAAAAGCTTGCACACGCGATTTTGCAAGACTACTTCAACCTAATAGAGGTCATGCCTTCTGAAGGAATTTAGAAGTTCCCCCAATTTTTGTAAACTGTTTTCATCTAGATGGTAATTAGTGTCACTAAATTCAACCAGCTTCTAGGTATTTTCTTAAATGAAAAGGAGATGAAGCTTTCCTTGTGTGTCTGTTGTGTTGCCTAGGTAGCTGGACATTACATATTAATTTGGCAATCAAGCTCTCCAGCTCTATTGTCCCAAGGAAATCCAGCATTTATATAACTCTGAGAAATGTCTCACCTTCTCACAGGGCAGATGCAACTTAAAACATATTACAGTCTTACAGGCTAACAAAACAAAACCCATTTGTTTCGGGTGAAAGACTAAAGAAATACTCTAGGCCTATAAATCAATCAATTAATCATTCTGTTATCTAATCTATCAGGCTATTGCTAATTTGTACTTCAATGCACCATTCAAGGAAAGTAACGTCCCAACTCATGTCACAGGATCATATAGTCAAGTAAGAGTAGTAATAACTTCAACTGAACCGTGGGACAATGAAAATCCATTATTTTTCATTCAAAGGTCTGCCTGCCAGTCTAGATCCTAAGCTACAAAACGACATCAAAGAACTCCAACGTAGAATCGCCCAAATGGAAAGAGGTATGTTTTTAATGGCTTCCCTTTCTCTTTTTCAGATTAAAAGTGGGTGAGTAGTTTTTATTCTTATTCCCTTGCGTCATCAAGAAAGCTGAACGAGAACAAAGCTATTCAGAAGACTATGCCATATTATAACCGTTAATGCCTATCTGGATATTATTGAAAGTGATGATCCAGGAAAATTCAATTTCTGGAATGGGGACTCTTTTTTAAAAAAAATTACCAACTGATAAAGAACGTGATAACCTCAAGTTAGATTGTCCCTCTATTTTTAAGAGTGTATTCTATCCAGCATATCATTCAGAGGACTTCATAACGTTCACTGATTTGGGCTCTCTTTGAGCCCAATTCATTTCACAGGGCTGTTATTTTTATAGGGTAAATAAGAGGAGGAAGCCTTGCTGGATATATTCATCACCTTGAGTTATTTGTTAAAAAAAAAAAATAATAAAGGCAGGATATACATAAATAAATAAATAAAAAAATGCTTGTTGACCAGCTTAAGTTAAAAACAGCAACAAAATAGTAAAAAAAAAAAAGAAATTTAAAAAGTACATTGTTGCCCCAGGATAATAATTCATCAATCCACTTCTCAAAAAGGGCTCGCACCACACCTTGTCCCAAAGCCCAAAGCCTCCTCTGTGTGTGTGTGTGTGTGTGTGTATGTGTGTGTTATGGGTGTTCAATGGAAGAGACTACAATTAGTCTTTCAGATGTGACTATAATGGAGTCTGCCCATTTTAATCGCTGGTCGCATTCGTTGTTAGGTGGAATGTAATACTAGTAACACACACACACACACACATCATGCTTGCTTTCCCCTATGAAATGGAAAAAGGAATGTACAGGTCATTAAGTGGAGCCTAGGGAGCATTCTGGGTGGAGGACTCTGCTGGAGGCCTGGCACAGGCCCAGCCTCACCAGCCCTGCCCCTCCCATCCTCCCCCATCTTCTAGGGATGCCCCATGCTCCACTTCCCATGGACTTGGGTTCCCATGGGTCTTTTCCCGCTCCAGCCTTAGCACTGATTCCTACCTGGTCAAACACCTGGTCAAACACCTTCCTCCTCTTCATTTACCTTTTGAAGAAGTCCATCTGCATGCTGGGATTCCCAAAGCGGAAGCCATTTTGTCTTGTCCACAAAATGGCAGCCATTTCCTTTTGCTGTCTTAAAAAAGCTCTGCATGGTGCTGCAGAAACTTTTGGCCGTGTTCAGAGGCTTCTTCAGCACCACGGAGACCTCTCCAAGGCAGCAAAATGCAGAGGCTTTTTTTTTTGTCTGTCAGCCTCCATTTTATCCCATCCCTGTCCCACAAAATGGCGGCCACATTTCGATGGCTGCAACAATTAATCCCCTGATTAATTGCTCTAACGATCAGGCAATTTCTCCTTAGTTCTAGCTTGATTCACTCCTTGGATTAGTTTCCATCCATTGCTTCTTGTCCTGCCTTCAGGTGTTTTGGAGAATAGCTTGACTCCCTCTACTTTGTGGCCACCCCTCAGATCCTGGAACGCTGCTATCATGTCCCCCCTGGTCTTCCTTTTCATTAAACTGGACATTCCCAATTCCAGCAACCGTTCCTTATATGTTTTGAAGGATCTAAGCAAGGCTTCCAAATTTCTTGACAGCTTTGACCTTGGAAGGAAAGATCGTCATTGCTGGAGATAAGCTGTTTGCCTCTACTGGAAAGGCATATGTCTTTGAGATAGCAGAATTCACTTGCCAAGAAGCCCAGGGCGCCATTGCTGCACCAAGAAATCTGAAGGAGAACAAAGCTATTCAGAAGATTGTGCAATTTTATAACAGTTCTGCCTATCTGGGTATTATTGAAAGTGATGTGCCAGGGACATTCCATTTCCAGAATGGGGATCCTTTGGATTTTACCAACTGGTACGAGAATGAACCTTCCGGTCCAGGAATTGAAAAATGTGTGGAAATGTCCAGCGATGGCACTTGGAATGACAAATTGTGCAACAATAAGCGCCTTGTGATCTGTCAGTTTTAAAACCCAACCCCAAGGCAACCATTGAATGTTCCTTAAAACATAACTTGATGTGATTTTTCTGTCAAAAAAAATCAATAAAAATCCTAGCATTTTCTTTGCTTTCGTTTGATCTCCTGTGCTCAAAAGACAAATCTATTCTGAAAGGATTGCATGTTCGTAAACAGAAAATCTAAGAATAGAATAGAATAGAATAGAATAGAATAGAATAGAATAGAATAGAATAGAATAGAATAGAATAGAATAGAATACAGAAGACAGAAGACAATAGAATAAAAAATAGAATAGAATAGAATAGAATAGAATAGAATAGAATAGAATAGAATAGAATAGAATAGAATAGAAGACAGAAGACAGAAGACAATAGAATAGAAAATAGAATAGAATAGAATAGAATAGAATAGAATAGAAGACAGAAGACAGAAGACAATAGAATAGAAAATAGAATAGAATAGAATAGAATAGAATAGAATAGAATAGAATAGAATAGAATAGAATAGAATAGAATAGAATACAGAATACAGAATACAGAATACAGAATACAGAAAAGAAGAGAGAATAGATCAGAACAAAACAGAACAGAACAGAACATTCACAGCTTCTGGAGGCAACTGGTTCCACTGACTAATTGTTCTAACTTCAGGATGCGGGTTAAAATGTCATAAGGACCATGAAAATAAATTAAGGAAAAAATAGACTTTGTGGTCACTGTCATCTCCAAAAGGGAAAATAATATCCAGCTAGGATAGAGATGTGGGGTTTTTCTTGGAGTCCCCGGCTTACAACAATTCATTTAATGACTGTTTCAAGTTACAACAGCACTGGGAAAAAAAAGTGCCTTATGTCCGTTTTTCACACTTACAAGCACAGCAGCATCCCCATCATCACGTGATCAAAATTCAGGCGCTTGGCGACGGACTCCCATTGATGACGGTCGCAGATGCAGTTAAAAGTGGTCACCATCCCTCTTTTACCTGCTATTATTTCTTGGAAACCAGAAACTAAATCACTGCGGAATCCAAAGTTTAGCTAATTCTATGCCTCTCTTCCTTTCCCTTTCTACCTTTTCTGAAAACTAAATTGGAGCCAAGCCCACAGGGTGGCATTAATCACCACAGGAATTATTTTTTACAACGCCCAAACCATTTGCATGACCAATAGGCTTTAGGGTACAAACGCTTCATTTGTCTTTCTTGTCAAACTCTGTGTGATGGAACAGCCACACTTCCGGGGTGTTGTCGTTACTACCTTTGGAGGAGGAACAAGGGTGGAACCAGCCTGAAATATTCATGATAAAGTCTGGGGGGGGGAAGGAGGGAGGACTGTGTCACTTTAAGATCCAGGTGGGAGGTGGCACAGTTTAAGCACTCGAGTTACCTGTTAGTATTGTTGTGAATGCTATTTCCTCCGATCGTTGGTTTTTGAGTGACCACAGGACTTGTTTAGATTTTTATGGCTTTACTACACATCCTTCAAAATTGGGAAAAGTTTTGTTCCTGCTGAAGAGCCTGAATGAAAACAGAAAAAAAGCACCTTTGGAGTAGTTGCAGACGTTTTTCTTCCAAAAGGTGAAACAGGAAGGCAGAAGGTAAGCAGCTGCTTCTCCTACTCTTACCTGTTGTTTGAGCAGCTTTTTAAGCATGGATATGGGAACTAATCATCCTCTTTTTTCAAATGTCCTGCTTAGAAGAAACAGGTGGTCCTTCCTCAAAATGAAAAACGAGAAGACCTTTCTTAAGGTTGCTGAAGAGATATATTTAGTAAGTCAGATTTTTGGGTGGGGTGAAGGAAAAAAATCCCTTTCCATCCTCAAATTTCTGTATTTAGCTACAGCTGTTAAAAGAAGGGGAGCGTTGAAGGTTTATTTAAAGGTTATTTACATGATCGGAAAAGAAACTGGAGCTGATTTGTTCAAATGGAGTATTTCAACTCATCTTGAATACTGGTCGCCAATAGCTAATATCTAATGGAGTGTTAAAGAACCAGATTGGTGACACGGTTAAGGCATCAGTCTAGAAACTGGGAGATGGTGAACTCTAGTCTCACCTTGAGCAGGAATCCAAATGGATGACTTCTCTCTCAGACCTAGAAAGAAGGTAGAGACTCAGATAATACAGAATACAATAGAATATAGAATAGAATATAGAGTAGAGTAGAGTAGAGTAGAGTAGAGTAGAGTAGAGTAGAGTAGAGTAGAGTAGAGTAACAGAGTTGGAAGGGACCTTATAGGTCATCTAGTCCAACCCCCTGGCCAAGCAGGAGACCCTACACCATTTCTGACAGACGGCAGTCCAGTCTCTTCTTCAAAGCTTCCAGTGATGAAGCTCCCACAACATCTGAAGGCAACTTCAGTTCCATTGGTTGATTGTTCTCACTGCCAGAAAATTCCTCCTTATTACTTTCCTTGATCAGTTTCCATCTGTTGTTCCTTGTCTGGCCTTCAGGTGCTTTGGAAAATAGGTTGACCCCCCTCCTCTCTGTGGCAGCCCCTCAAATATTGGAAGACTGCTATCGTGTCTCCCCTGGTCCTTCTCTTCACCGGACTAGCCATGCCCAGTTCCTGCAACCGTTCTTCGTATATTTGAGCCTCCAGTCCCCTAATCGTCTTTGTTGCTCTTCTCTGCTAACCATTTCTGAAAAACCTTGCCAAGAAAACCACAGGGAATCAAAGGGAGGATAATAACGTAGTGAGGATACTCAATTATCTAAACAAATGTACTATACATTTGGAATGATTCGGAACTTTTCAATAAAAATAATTATCCCCTGGGAAAAAAGAAGAGAAAGGTTTTTTCCCCTTGGCATCTGATCACCCTAATTATGCATGAACAATGCTTTCTTTTTAAAATGAGCCAGCAAGGGCCCCACCACCAAAATTATCTTGCCACTGGCCACTCTGTTGAAACAGGTGAAATGTGTATTTATCTGTTCTAGAATAGCACAGGCATTCAAATGCAGCATTGCAAAATGTTTAATTTAGATACTATTCCTGGAGCGACCTTGGGTTTAAGGGCTGTGAGATAGGAGCTAGCTATTTATCTCCTGGGGGAAAATGTCTCTGTGTCAGAAACACTGCAGGTTGCCCTCTCCTTGCTTGCGTGTCTGCTCCACCAGCCATACACTGGCATAAAAGCACTTCTGTGCAGAGTGGTTACAAGATTGGAAGAGTTTTGTACACTTTAAATGTGCCGTTATGATAACGCCAGTCAGTTTTGCTTGTATGGAGGAATTAGTAAAAAGCAAAATATTTAGAACCGTTCAGTGCAGGGAAGAATAGTGGGATAATAAGATAAGATAAGATAACTTTTATTGTCACCTTTTTCTGTGAACACACTGGCACACATTTAAAAAAATGAAAATTTGATGCCCACTCTCAAAAGAATATATATATATCCATTCACATATATGCACACACATGTACTGTACATATGCTATACACACACACATATAGACAGATAGACAGACAGAAGGACAGACAGACAGACAGATAGATAGAAATATGGATAGATGATATAGATGATAGACAGACAGACAAACAGACAGACAGACGATGGACAGACAGATAGATAGATAGAAAGATAGATATATGATAGATATATGATAGATATATAGAAATATAGATAGATGATAGATAGATAGATAGATAGATAGATAGATAGATAGATAGATAGATAGATAGATAGATAGATAGATAACTACATGTATATATATACAGTATATATATATATATATATATATATATATATATATATATATATATATATATATATACTGTATATATATACATGTAGTTATCTACATGTATATATGTAGATAACTACATGTATATATGTACATGTACATGTATATATATATATATATATATATATGTATGTATGTATGTATGTATGTATGTTTGTTTGTTTGTTTGTTTGTTTGTTTGTTTTCTGAGGTTTTCGCGGGTGTTTGTATGTAGGTCTTTGGTTATTCGGGTTTTCTCCCGCATAACCAAAGACCTACATATATATAGGCCATTTTGAATACATAGCAAAAAACAGAGTCTTGAGAGTTAACAAGGTTGAGCCATAGGGGTAAAACCTCTTATAGAATCTGGTTGTTTTGCTTCGGGTACCATGAAGCCTCCTGCCAGAAGGTAACAAAGAAAACCAGTCATGGAGAGGATGTGGAGTGCCCCAGACAATCAGTCAGACCCTAGTCAAACAGTGCTTATATGCCCTGTCCTGGATAGAAGGAAGTGAACTCCCAATAATCTTTTTTGCTGTCCTCACCACTCTCTGCACAGCCTTCCTATCCAAAACAGTAATACTTCTGAACCACACAGTAATACAATACAGCCAGATGCTTTCAAACAACAGTGGGATAATAATTTTCATGTTTCCAAAGCTCACTACCAATAGATGCCACCATATCGTTCACTACACTACCTAAAGTGTCAGTGAATCACACAAAATCTGATCTGAACCCTTTATCTGGTTCAACCTTGCAACTTTATTCAATCCAGGATTCACTTCAATTCACTTCATCATCGTTTCATTCTTCCAATTCACTTTGGGGTGAAAAAAGTTGTCTATGGCTGACTGGCAATCATCCAAATTACCTAATTGATCTGAGGCATCAGATCTGATTACATGATTCAAATCTATGCTGCCAATTTGATCTCCGCCTTTTACACTTAAGACGTGTAGCTGAAAAATGAACCTTGCAGAAGAGCCCATATTGACTATTTATTTTTATTTATTAAATTTCTATGCTGCCCATCTCCTCCTACTAGGTGACTTTACCCTTGTGAGTCATTTTCACTTTTTTTACAACCTTTGATCGTTGTCATAACTTTCTTTATTTCTTAAATCCCTCTACAAAAAATAGATTGCCATTAATTGTTGAAAAAAAATTAAGAACTTCCTAAGTACATGGCAACCTCATAGATAGAACAAAGAAGACTGGTTAGAAGATATTATAGACAGGATCACAAACAAATGGAGGTTAGATAGGATAACAGAAGCTACAGTTCCCATCACCCGGTTCAATCAGCTGTCAACCTTCTGTATTGCTTAGACACAGAATCTGGAT